CATATCCGTTAAAAATCGTAACGTCGAGTTATTAACAGAAGGTTGCGAAGTGCGAGTATGCAATTTTGAAGACTTTGAGCGCGTTCGGCGAAAATCGGAATGTATCGAAACGTTTATCGTGTGCCGCGTTCGCCGCTCCAGCACCCACTTGTGTGCAAGCAGCATTTCTCGAATCGCCACCGCATGCGTAATTACGGGACATTTAGCAGCACGCGCGGCACGCACAAACGAATGCGGTGCACAAACACAGCCGAAAGTTCAGGAAAGAATATCGGTAAAAAAGCGACTTTACGATAAATCACCGAATGATTTTATGGCCCCGGTTCTCCGCGCGCCTACTAATATTAGGACAATTTTCTGCAAAAATTCCTCGGACAGAATCGCTTTTATTGTAGGATACCCTGTAATCAGCGGTCAATATTCGTAAAAGAGCATTGCAATAAAACTCGGCTCGTATCAAAGCCCGAACGATTATTGGAATTTCGGTACGATAACGAACAGCATCCTTGCCGCGAGTGTCCTCTGCCAAAAAAAGAAAGTCTAGCAATCCTAAGCGCTATCTCGGTGGTCATAATATTTTCGGCAAACATAGTCTAAAGTGGAAAGACACTATTTATTATGGAGAATAATACATATTCGCGTGCTAATGAAGCAGATTTCACAACACGCAGCCAGGACAAGCCATTAGCGTTAATATTTGTTGTTATATCACTTGATGTTTGCAGTGAAATCCTAATTGATAAGGTTTAGCTAAAGGAACACAAAGAAAGTCTATAGTCTATAGCAAATATGTAAAATAATATTAAAATCTATAGCTACTATGTAAAATAATATTAAAATAAAGAATAAAATTTTGTTTTTAACCAAATTTCGCGTAAAATCTGTTTCAATTGTATTTCTCATTTGAATAACAAAATTAAGGCCGATGATGTGCAATTTTTTCCAAGAAATCTGATATTATATTTAGACATTCAACGTCAATTCCGGGAGTATTCTTTGTTTCCATTCCCAACATTGACTCATGCAAGACCGTAATGAGGCTCGATGTAAAGATACGAGCGCAAGAGCGAAAAAAAAATGCACATGCATGTATGTACTCGGTAATTGATAGGTGCGTGACGAGCACCGAGATTCAATGAAGCGCAGGTAAATATAACCGCTGAAATGGCGCGGTTTAATCGCATCACGATAAAAGCGCGGATGAAAATTTAATTTGAGCATAGCTTTCTCCCGTTCATTATCCTCCCGACCGTTCATATCCAACAATCGAACAATCGCGTGATTTACATATGAATCGATTAGCGTTTAAACTTTGCTTACGCTTCGTTCTGCGCATATACTCGTAGGTGTATTTATGTACACTTAGCGCAAATATTTAGTGACTACATATTTTTATATTCTATATATTAATATAAATTTTTTTGACATTTAATTTTCTTATAATTAAAAAAATGACAGATTTATTAAACACGTATTAAATCTCTATAAACAGTTACTCAAAATTTAATCTATGCATTTTACTTCTCAAAATTGTAATATCTGCGGAACATTAATTAAACAATTTCAGATTATCTGTCACGAGAAAAAGCTTCGCAAGCAATAATTTAGCCACAATTCTGATACAATTACTATCTATTATATTAAGCTATTTCCTAGACAGCATGTATTTACAAATTTTACTAAAAAATCCTAACTGATTCGACTAGCAAGTAGCGGCTTCGCGTGGTAAGCTTTTGCGCGTCGTGCGTAATTTACTTGTCAGCGCGAACGAAATAATAGGATATTAGTTTCAGATCGGGTAAAAACACTTATTCTCTCCTCTCTTTCGCGCGCGCGCGTGTGTCGGCGAAATAAATGTGTATGTGTGCGCAACGAGTGAGAATCGAACTTGCTGGATAACCGGCATAACTACCACGAACCTTCGCGCATTCTAATCGCGGCAGCATCGTAAGCGCACAAACATCACTTTCTCCGTTCCGTTAACCAACCATCTTTTTTAACTTTTCCTAACTGAAGACACAGACGTGCCATAATCGCAGTTATCCACCCAAGAATAGTTAGGATCGTTGGACGAAAATTCACACATCAATTACGCAAGAAACTTAAATATTAAACAAAACTTAAATATAAAACTTAAATATAAAACTTAAATATAAAACAAAATAGAACATATTTCATAATAAAATTTAAGTAAAGCCATAATTTGCATCGTTCATCACAATTGTTTATACTTAAAACTTAATGTTAATTTGTATATACACAGTACATAAATCATCAAAGTTCTCTGCGTGAGATGAAAAATCTTCGCGCAGTAAACCTCCAACTGATAAAGAAAACAGCGAGAAATCGTAACAAATACTTTCCTGCGCGTACACGTGCGTGTAAACATTATCGGTCGTAATTACGACGTAAATCACGAAGACCGCTTATCGCAATACGATCGTCGGGAGGATCTCGCTGAAGACTCGTCAGGCGGCAACGCGTTCGCGATATTAGCAATGATATTAGCGATTACCGTTTTGTATTACACACAAGAGCGCCGTTGCATGTGTACAGAAAGTCGTTGTACATATATGTATGTGTGTATATAAACGTACATAAAACTTCGTTAAATTTAACCTTTGTGGTTGAACATCCCCATTTAACTGACCGCGAACTTTTACTCTTTTGATGTTTGCATGTGTCGACGCCTAGTCGCGCCGCAATTATCCGTTTGAAGTTAAGCGGACGAATTGTAAACAGGCAATCTATACTTTTACGTTGCATACACACAGCTGATACCGTTAATTCTTTTCTTCATTACTTCCATTACGACCGAACGCGTTGATGCTCCAATAGTGATTTATTTATTAGTCCACGTTATAGAATTACAGGTTTAATATATGAGAACTCGTTCAAGTTATATTGGCATGATTATCTCTCGAACAGCTCTCGTCTTTGAGAAATAAAACTGAACGTTACACGCTTTTTTTTTCACAAAATATTGCTGCGGAATCATTTATAGGAGCGCTTCCTCGAATGACATAGTAAAGCCACACACCAGAAAGTGATTCTACCGTAAAATTATTAGACTTGAACGAGTCGGAAATGTATGTCACTGTGTGTAAAAAAATCTATGCGATTTAAATATATATGTTATATATCGTGTGCTCACGCGCAGGAAATATCTCAGAAAATTATTTATGGTCATAAACCACGAGACGCGAGAAATTCAGATTCTTCTCTTGGCAAATTAAATTAGATCTCCGAGTTGAAAAGTGTGCGTACGCGCTGTTGCTGCTCGAAGCTTTGCGCAACGAACGCGCGTTCCGGAAAAAAAAAAAAGAAGTCCACGACCACAATAAAGCGAGCACACACGCGTCGATAATGCACACGCGCGTCGCGTCGTAAAATCAAATCGGTTCTACATTCGCTTCTTAACCCACGCTAAATTGTCTCGACCTAGTTCGCGAGATCCGAGAACAAAACGAAGACAGAAGCGCACAAATCGGGAGGAAGAAGAGGAAAAAAAAAAGATAGGTCGCGCTTGCCACTTTACGCGCGCGTTAGAAAGCACCGGTCATCGATCACGCTTTCTTCTTTGCGATTACGTGTAAAAAAAGCGTCGAGGTTCAATGAACGACTCGTGTAACATGTGTGTACACATATATATGACGCCGACGCGCTTCTTTCTCCCCGAGTATGTATCCGCGTACTTCCTTCATTGTGATTGCCGCGAAAACGCGAGAGAACCCAATCTATTGGGAGATTTATTTCCTTTCTTTCTTTCGTACGATAGATATAAAACTTACTTCCGCCCTAGTACGCGCAAAAGTGCAAGTGAAAACGATGTTCGGAGCGTTAATTAGCACATACGTCTGCAGTGCGTTTTTTTTTTTTGCGTTACGCGAGAAATAATGTTTCACGAAGTTGATTTTAAAAACTCGCGAAAGCATATATATGTAAAATATATAATTGTTAATGATATCTAATACATTTTCCTGTGTTCAAAAAAATTGTTTTGATAGTCTAAGATTTTTTTTCGAAATATTTTTACAAACTTGTTAAAATATCTTTTTGTTCAGCATTTAATTGAGTGACACACGTGTGTAAATATTTGTGACAATGTACGCAAAAAAAAGTAATCGGCTAATTGCAGAAGACGGAGAGAGATGGGGAAGAAAGGGAGAGAGAGAGACAACAAGATATGCAGAATTTCTCTGTAGGGAGAACGTTAAATACCGTTTGTAACACCTCTTACTCTTGTGTGCGTAATGTGTAACACTTAGTTCATTGTACGCGCCATATATTAATCGTCGAAGTCTGTAACGCGTTTCGATTTCTACCTTGGAATTTGCACCGGCTTCCTCATGCAAATTTACATTCGTATTTCTTTGCGATGTCAACTGACGGCAACCAAGTGGAAAATGACAACGATACTCATTTCTTTATCGGAAGTACTTTCGCAGTTCGTGGTAAATAATTAAGACCACTTTTACATTTTCAAATTCAAATAAGCAACATAATTATACTACACTCTGAGCGTCAAATCTTATTCATTGTTGCAACTTTGATTTTCATTATTTAAAACTAAAATATATTTGTACGTTCATTTGCGAACCAATTTAAAATTGGTATATTTATTGTTGCAACTTTTTATTATTCAAAGCTTTATTTGTACAGTTATTTACGAGATAATTTAAAGTCAGTATAGTTGTGCAACATTTGAATGCGACGTAAAAATAACCTTGAGAGATAAATAACAATACAAGTAAACAATATACGAATTCGTGATTTTTAAATAAATGTAAACTTTCTCTAAGAATATTTTCTCAATAGATTTACAATTATATATAGACTATCCAAATTATATAGACGCACATAAATCTTACAAAATACGGCTTTTACGTTGTTAGTCACTTTATTAGTATTTTCAGTGCGAATAAGATTTAACGCTCAGCAAGAGAATTACCGCTCGCGGTTGACAAGCATGCCATTTGTAAATCAACGTGAGTACTCACCGTGAGCTGCGTCTTGTCAGGTGCAATTGCCGTGATCTCGACCGGTCTCGGTTCGGGCGGGTTCGCTCTGCTGAGAATTGCAGCCGGCATTTTTGCGACGAGGGACAACCTTCTGGTGAGCCGTCTGCCCAATTCCGCACGCCGACGTACTCTGATGCGGGGCCCGGTGCCCTTGTAACTTCCGAATTCCATTCTTCAGTCTGAACGCAAACAATTCTCTTCTCTTTCTTTTTTTTGTTTACCAACAGCTCTCGCTCATAGTGACACACAAACACACTACTCCAGCTCGTCGTCGTCGCGTCGTCGTGTTGTTACTTGTCACGTGATTCTTTGAACAAACATCTTGTGTTGTTGCAAAAGTTCAGTCTAAAAACTCCGAGTTCCGTGCAAAATGCGGAGACACGTCTCATCGATTTTGCGTGTGTACGAACAGCAACAGATCGAATTGTCCAAGTTTCAGGGTCACCGGCGCCATTTGCATTTCCGCAATTTGAAAGTTGACTTGTGCCGGCGCGCGCGAAAAATCACCGACGTTCGCGCGCGTAATCCGCGCTTCTCGCGAAAACAAAGTATCGTCGTACCTTCGAATTTATAGTCTCTCTCGGATAACAATTGTGAATAAATCTTTCTCTCTCTTTACGTCGCGACGTTTCGAGACACACCGCGGACCAAAAGTGTGCGCGACGACGTAAAAACCGACTGGATGCTGCGCACACACAAGCCTCCCTCGCAGCGGCGCGCGGCGGAGAGGGGCGAAGACGCGCGAAGGGAGCCGAGGACGCAAAGATACCTATGTTCATACACCTGTACGCGCACGCGCGACGTTCAGGTCGCACACGAGCGCCTATTTCTCTCTCTCTCTCTCTCTCATTCAACTCTTGATTCGACTCTTGATTCTCAACTTTCTCCCTTCGTCCTTCCGTCGGAGGTTCTTGAAAAATCGAGGCGCGGAAAGGGGAGCGTCCAAAGGGTTCTTGCTCTTGTCTTGACGCTTGCTCGTTCGGTTTGCCTGACGCGCTTCGACTGAAATTGAATCGCGGCAGTCTCCTACCACGCGGTCCGTGCGACCACCACTAACTAACCTACGCGCCCCGGCCGTACCACTTCTCCTCTCTCCCTCGTCCGCCCGTTACGGCGTGCAAGAAGCCGCGCACCGTTGGTAAACAAAACGTATTCCCCGCGGGAGATTAGAGTCGTCCGGTGACGACCGAGCGCTCGCAAATGATGTAACGGGTGCGCGCGAGATCTCGGTCAGTTTACCTGTTAAACGCCCAGACTAATTGCACCGATACGTATTCGAGAATGGTGTTGCTCCAGTCCGCGGTGAAACGTGACAAACTCGCGCACACATCGCAACACGCTCTCAGTTCGATTATTGACTTACTTCAGTTGTTCGAATCGTTCACGCGTATGTACATGCAATTCGATAATGCGCGATTCTGCCATCTCCGATTAACTTAATCGATCGATTACTCCGTCGGAGTCGACCAATCGTATCGGTTGATTGACTGAAATGATCAATTGCAGTTGACTAGCAATCGATCGATTGCGTCAATCAAAGTTAAGTAAAAACTTTAAATATGTCACGACAAAATTCGATGTTTGTTCTCGCGGAAGTCGTTTTCGCAAAGTGCGTAAATTTTCGAGCGCGAAATCTCCGATAACGCAACGTGCGATAAGAAGTCGCGAAACGATCAATGACTGATTTATATCTACGAGCAAATAGCGTGACGGCGTCGTTGACAGAAGCATCCTAACGACGCATCACGGTGTCGTGATGTTTCCTTCCTCGGCTATAAATAACGAAGACCTATTAGAAAGCGCATTTCTACGCCGATCGCGTCGAACGTTCTGATCGGTTGCATAACGCCGTCATATGTCACTTGGCATTCTATCCATCAAAGCTTGTAAACATTTAAATGCGATTTATTTACATAAGATGTGCTAGAATAATAGAATAAGCTCGAAAGTTTCATTTTTTAATTCTATGTATAATTCTAACTTTTAATTCTACGTATCTACTTTTTAATTCTAGTTTTTAATTTTATATTTAATATATGACACATGGTTGTAAATACATGTCTCCTTTTAGATAATTTACTTTAAGTAATCGAAAGTTTTTAATGTACATGCTTCTTCAGAGATAAATAAATTGTAAATTGAATACGCGCTTATTCTAATAACATAATAACTCAGAAATCGGGTCTTAAGAGTAGCGTATATCAACTAATAAAATGCGCGCGAACTTCCTGCATTAAGGCACGAAATGTTATTTCCTGGAAATTATACAATGTAGTTATTATGAAATGATAATGTGTGTGTAACAACTCAGGAAGAAAAAGTGATATAGTAGAATATATCAGTCGGATCATTAAGTTAGAATTTCCAAGTCTCAAATGAGGCCGATATACAAACGCACACAGATTCTTTGAAACATTACTAAAAATGTGTTTCGCCTAATATGGCGAACAGCGTTTGTAAAACACATAAAAAGGATAAAGGAATCCGTTAAATTAAGATTGAAAGATAAGATATATTGCCGATTTTTGATTGTGTGTGTCGAGAAATTGATTCAAGTATCAGATCTAATATTTGTTGATGCACAAAGGAGAGATTGTATCTGAAAAGATTTCAAAGATTTTGCAGGATGTTATTTGTCTTGAGAAAAGTTAGTGAAATCGACGGATGTGTTTTTTTCTCTCACCGAGAAGTAGCTATTCAACGAGAAATGAAAAGACCGAATCTTTATATGCGTTTGTATACAAATTTAAACTAGCGGAAATGACGCGGTTTTTTGTGCACCTTTCTCACCTTTGACTTTTCTACGCGACTTCGTTTATGAATATCTTAGTATTGTTATAAGAGAAACTCGACACATTTGTTACTTGAGTATAAACTAACAAGTTTGACTTTTTTTAATTTTAGCAAGTTAAACATTTTCTTCTATAATTCTTAAATAATTTCAAATTTAAGATTTTTTTATATTTACATATTAAAATAAAGTTTAGAGTTTTATACAATTATTTATTGATGTGATATGCAACATCTCGTAAAGATCATGTCTTTTTCAGACCAGTAAAAGTCTGTCTTTCTTAAAAAAAAAAAGAAGTATTTTCAACTAAATGATGCAAACTTTTAACGTTTTTAACTGAAGCGGATTTAATAACTCTAGGTACTAAATTCGCTTTGGACAAAAACGCCATTTGAGAGACGAGCTTGAGAAATTCATTCGTCAGTAACTCCATCTAACACATTATTTGAGAATTAGATAACACTGCACGTACAACACATTTTTTACTTAGTGAAAAAGGTGATTTTTATAGATTTTGATAGCGCTGAATTCGAATGTGATAGAATTTATATATTATGTTATATTACATCTCAAACAATAGGAATAGCTCGAAAAAAGTTGATGATATTACAAATAATAGAACAATATATTACAATTTATCAACAGTATTATATACATTTGTATTTTTATATATCTTTTGTACTGAAAAAAGAAATAACTTGTGTAATACAAGAATATTTATATTTTTAAAATTTTTTAATCTCAGAATATATCTCGCTATTATTTATAATATTAATATCGGATTCAACAACAACAAAAATTACAGGAAGTTTTATGAAAAAATTTGGAGAATACTAGATTATTCACTTTTGAAATATAACAATATTTAAGAAATGTTTAATCTATTGTTAAACCGTCTGATAATTTTATACTTAATATTTATATATATATACGTATCATAAAATAACATTGAAAATTAAATTAAATTAAATACCTTTTATAATGTATATAAAAAATCAGGTACTTTACTATAAAAAAACTTCCCTTAGTTTTGTTAAGAAACATTTTAATTGTGCTTATGTTAATATCTATAGTCTATGATTTTTCTAGTTCTTCTTGTTTATTTACGTCATTTCAATCCGAGTATATTGCGCGCCTATAACAGAGAAGAATAATTTATATTAACATATATTTCTTAGTTTCAATACAATGTTATAACCGATAAAAGTAAAATATAAGTAAACTATAAGTTCACCGTTACAAAAGCAGCACTAGCACTCTCTGCAGCACGACTTAAAGCTTCATCTGGTTTAACCGAACTAGAAAACAGCGAGTGTATTTGTACAGCTTCTTTTATTCGTGTTTCTAAGAATTTCCAGGTCTCTTTATGATCCTCACTACTATCTTGGAGCATGTATAACTCAGTAGCCTTATAAATGATTGCTAATATCATCCTTCTAGTGTACCAATTGAACTACTCAAAGTGTAACATATCAAGTTTAATCAATACATACTTAATCAATATTTTAATATTTTACGTACTTAAATAATATACATTTATATTAAATTGTAAGTATATACATTCACCAACGCTATAGAAGAACAACTTACATCAACGGACCTATCGCCAACATAGTAGCAGATATCATCGACTAAAGTTAACAAATTTGCCAGAGCAATCGGCACGTTCGGGGGTAAAGTCATAATAGCTAGTGCTTGCGGCCATGTTTTCTTGTAGGGAATCACCATTCTTAATCGAGTTTCCACAGCATCGAGAACTTGGTGTTCTGCAGTTTTCCGTGGACTCGTAGAATCTTCTTTAACGTTCAGTAACATTTTTTGTAGAGTCTCATTCAATTCACGATTACACATGAAGTAAAAGTGGTGCACTAAATCCGCGCCACCGTTTGGAAATAATCCGTGTATCACGCCCGGATATCCGATCGACTCAGCACCTTTGACAGCATAACTTTCGATTAAATTGTTTTATTTCTTTTGTGTGTCAAAATAACATGCCTATGTCAGTAACGAAAACTTAGATAAAGATGTAGATAACAATCAAGTTTTACATGCACAAGCACAATCAATATATATTCTTGAAAATAATATAGTCGCGTGCGTAAAAATTATTTCTAAAGTATATTTTTCAGCTTTTTTTCTGTTAATTTACTTCACTTAATTAATATGATAAAAAGATTGATTTTTCGAGATATACGCATATATATATAAGCATATATAGATGAGAATTATTGTGGATTAAATTACCCGCACTAATAGCTTGTTTAGTCCAGCCCATATCAGGAACAAATTTTAAAGAAGCACCAAGTATTTTTGTTTTAATATTTTTTTCATATTCTTCATCATTTTCTTCATGAATAGGTTGTTGCGATTCTTTTTTATTATCAGTATCAGACTGATCGACTAACAAAGCCCTAGAAGTCCATAAATGTCTAAACCCTAATAAAATCATACATAATATCTACTTTTACAAAATTATACATATGTGTATACATACATAATTTATAAAAAATTAAAATTATAACATGACATTCTCTTACACAACAGACAGAAGAAATACTAAATGAAAGCAGAAAATAAATATGGTAGAAAAACAAACTTTTATTAAGCAATGAATAATTAATTAATAATTGATCGTAGAAATTGAGCAAGAGTTTTTACAATATAATGATTGCTTTTGCTTTTACATGTACAATATTTTGCGAGTATCACATATTTCTTAAAATTCCTGTTGATAATTTTTGCCAGTTTCTATACATTCATTAACTCTAATTAGAATGCTTTCCATTACATCTAAACCATTTATTGCTCGATGACAAAAAGAAATTTTTTCAGGCAATGGCATGACCGGCAACTGTTGACCACCAATAGTTAGTGTGACTTCTGCATCAACTTTCTTTATCATATTGTAATCATGTATCTTGGTGTAATTTTTTTTCTGTTGTTCCAAGTCTCTCATCTTCACTCTCCAATGTGTTTTACATAAATCTATTCCCTCTCTCATTGGCTTCAAATAATTATCTTTCAGTTCATTTGTAATACACCAAATACCAGTCTCATTATGTTTGTCTTTGATATACAAGAATCGCAATAGATTCAGCGTGGTAATTACTTCATCTGATATTTCTACTAAATCCGTAGTACTTCCATGTGGCAAGTTACAAGCTTTTTTCAACATTAGTTCCAAATTTTTTCCCAAAAACTGAGGATTCTGCGGAGTTGAGTTGAGACACTCAATGATTGAAGATTTGAATATATTGGTGATTAAGCTCATTAAACCAGAACTAATTTCACTAATTTTGTATAAATAAGAGAGAACAGAATATCTAGCTCTCATGTTAAATATCTCGATATATTCTTGAAAAATATGCAGTGCTTTCTTTCGTTCAACTTCATTGTTGCAATAAACCATTATGTTAATAAGTGGCTTAAACAAGTCTAAATATATTGGTAGTTCCAATATGTCCGTATCAACAGAACGAGGTAGGATACGTTTTAAAACACTTTCCATAAAAGTTAGTCCATTGGAGATTAAAATCTCTTCTTCTTTGCAAAGTAATATTTTGAAAAAATGCATGCATATCTCAAGGATATAATAAGGATTATAAACTTGCGGTACATTCCGCCAAAGGTTCTTCTTGGTAATTACATGAAAATAAAAATTAGCATAAGCCAGATTCGATATATTATCCTGTTGTTGGAAGAGTATACTGCGCTTATAGCTCTCTATGTGTGAAATATCCTGTACTTGTCTTTGGATAGTTTTTTTACGCTTACTAACAATATCTAAGAAATATAATATATCTTCAGTGAGACAAAATGTTGATGTTATCATTTCTTCCACCAATTTCTTGTATGTTTCCTTTTGTGTACTTTTTCTGTTGATATAACAAAAAGGTTTTCCATGTAGAGAAATAAGAAAGCTCAAAAGATAGTCCCCAAGTAGAGATCCTTCTTCAAGTGTACAATTAATCTTTACTGCTTCTTGTATTATTGGTTCCAAGAACCATATGATGTGTTTATATACTTTCATAATTCTGTCACTAACTGCATCTTCATCAGTGGTACTATTTGGCATAGGTAGCTCTTCAATATAAGACTTGATAGTACTAAAGCACCATTCAATAGTTTTGCTCTTCTCATTCATTTTTATCATACATATTCTTAATGGTTCTAAAATAGCACAGAATTTAGTATCATTGTTTGAAAACTCTATGTATCCCAAAAACTCCAATATAGTCTCCATGGGATTATACTTTTCTGCTATAATAACTAATACAGTCTTACAGCATTCAAATAATTCTTGCTCATATTGTGCGTTGGACTCAGTAAGATAGCTAGTAGCAACAGACACAATTTCGCTCATTGAATTGTCAATTATTTTAGGATCTTCGGTTATAAACAGTCTGAGAACTTCTTCAAGCTTGCGATCTCTCAGAAGATCGGTGAAACGTTTAACAAATGTTTGCGACATTTTCTTGATTAAGTTCTTACAAGCGACACGATGAGCAGAAGAAAAGTATTTGTGTAAATATTTTTTTATATTGTTTTTTATATATATTGATATTGCTTTTTTCGTGCGAAATGTTAGCTACTTTCCAAGATTTATTAAGCAAAAGTACAAATAAAAAAATGTAGTTCTTCTCTTTTCTTTAAACTAAAAACGTTGCTGTTTTATTGAAGTTCTATCACGCCTTTTCAATCTTGTATTTAGAACTTTTTGACACACTTTTTTCTCCGGTTTATGTAACTTCAGCCAGGGCAAAATCCGACTCCGTTTCCCAGAGAGGTTATGCGAAACTCGTGCAACGATCATGTAAAACATTTTTCGCTGTTCGAAGAGTTTCACACACGTACTACCATTTTAAACATAAATACACAATTCCAGACAGAATTTGTTTTTATCTCATCGAGACTAATCGACGAGTATGTAGATATCAATTTTTAACAATTTTTTTTCCAAGAAGGGGAGATGAAATGCAGAGTGGGGAAAAGGCAAAAGTGCACGAATGAAAAATGTAGGTACTATACATTATTACGAACAAATTTATTATTAATTTTTGCTTACCGGTTGCTGAAAATAACATCCTCACTGAACGAAACGAATTAACCATCGCCATTTCGTTAGTTACCTTAACGGTTCTTAACAGAAAAATTTCTTAAATTCTACAAATATTCGAACAAACCACGTACACGCGCAATATTACATTACGGACTGTAAGCTTGCAGCACTTTTGTGTAATATTTGGACTTATCATCTCGTCATTACTAATCATTTCGTAATATCTGTTTTATATATAATGTTGTTTTATGTAGAATTGTATTTCATATGTATTTTTGTAAATGTCCAATACATATATGTAATAAATGTTTAACAAAAAATTTAGTGCGCATGTGCGTTTTCATATGTATCACTTAAAATATTTTTTATATTTCTATATAAAAACTAAACTAAACTTATTATCTATATTACAATTTATAATAACATGATATATAAATATCATTAATAATATACCTATATTATTGAAAATTGCGAGAGAGAGATTATTATTATATTACAAATTGTGATATAAATAGATTTATATACGTTATTATATATATTTAATTTACCATATATGTGTTCTACATTTGTATATATAAATTTATATTTTATATATGAAAAGAATTTCAATTATTCTTAAACAAAGATCCGAAAATCGTTAAAATGGAAGTCAAAGAGTATTATAACATTTTCCTTACTTCGCTATAGTTACCGAGATCTTACTTAACAAACGAATAAGCAAACACTGATAAAATCATCTTGTTTAAGATAAAATCATCTTTCTTAACACAAAATTATTTTATTTAAGATAACATCATCGTATTGAAGAGAAAATTACCTTATTTAGATAACGTTATTTTTTGTAAAGCCTGTTCTACATTGATCGCAAGCGCAAACGCAAGAAACAGATCTCGTAGAATTGACTAATCGTATTGATCAAATCAGCCAATTGACACCAGCGATGATTGGTCAATTCTACGAGATCTATACCTTGCGTTTGCGCCTGCGATCAATGTAGAACGGACTTAAGATAGAATTATCTTAGGTACAGAAAATTTTTTTTAAGACCGAAGCACAGACGTTTGCATAACGCATTACGCATAAAGGCTATCACACATAAAATTACTTAAAGGGCTTTCTACAATAAGATATTAGTAATAAATCAGAAGTCAGAAGCAAGAAATTGATTAATCACAATCGATAATTCTTCTGTGATTAGACCGTGACTGGTCAATTTCTTGCTTCTGACTTCTGATTTATTACTAAATCTTATTGTGGAAGGCCGTATATACTCTTGCTCAGTCATGAAAAACTGAATATCATGATTAGCAACTACACTGAAATTTGAGGTTAGAGATTCGAGATCTGAGAGCTGAAATTTGAGATTGGAGACGAGATCTAAGATTTGAGAAGCGACTATGAATTCGGGCTTCAGTAAACGCAACTTTATCTTAAATTAAAAATAAACTAACTGATAAATAAACTTACTGATAAAACTAATTAATTTCTCATGCTTCTCCGTTTATACCTAGACGCGTTACTGCGTTACCACCATGCGCGCGACCACGCGCGTGCGTCATAGTACGCGCAAGATGGCGGACCTCAGTCACTGCGCAGAACGTGACGAAAATCGTCCGAGAAGTGAGCACACCTTATTACTTCCACCATGGTATGTACGTAGCTCACGTAGCTGGAAAACTCCTCTTTCTGCTGAAAGTAAATATCGCTCTGTAGTTTCTACATTCACTTTCGTGGATATATGGCGCTGAAATCAGCAGCCGAATGTCGTAAGAAACTGCAATGGCCGCTCTTGTGCTTCTCTCTGATGAAATAAAAACTTTGTGGTTGATTCAGTGATGCCATCTGATGGCAATAGTTTTGCGAATTTCTTAGCGGGGGAGTGTAGCACATACGCGTTGGTATTGCATCAGCCTAGAAACCCTTTGAACGATCCGTTCACGGTTGAAATCCTCAGTTGTAACCCGTGATCATCCGTGAGTCCACCATTGATCGGATCTGATATTCACAGTCGGACAACGAGCCAAACCAAGTGATACTCTTTCTATTGTGATATTTCGCGGTAAGTACAGGAAAATGCACGCGATAAGCGTGCACACATAATAAGCTCAGGCTAGATAAATGGGGTTTTTCCGCTGATCTTTTTCTCTCTCTCTACTTCTCTCTCGACGTATCCCACGTGTTCGCGTTTCCGTCTCGAAAACCGACACTGGAATTCCCGCCGAATTATCAAAAATATTCGATTTTCAAATCCCTTTTTGTGAAAGTAATTATCGGAGAAATAAAATAGTAAGTCAAATTCAGAATATATAATAATTGTTTTTGCTCTCTGTTTGTTCAACTATTCACTTTCATTCGGATGGTTCAAGCAAAACGTGTGAGACAAACGACCTACCTTACGTAACGGAGCCTAACCCTGGCCCTGATCCAGTGTTAGAATGCTCTAATTCGTGCGTCGTTTTTAAGATCGTGCTAAATTCAACGCTGCTTCAAGATCGCCGCGAAAGAGGAAAGAGCAGTTGATCGATTTCGTAAAAGAGCTTTGAAAGAGTTTTCTCTGATAAACTTCGCGTTATCACTCGTCGGAATCTAAATTATTGTTAGATAATTACGTTAATCGCGATTATTGCAGATGTTCACTATTTTTTCTGCGAATTTTCTGGGGATAAAACCGGAAGATATGGATTAGTTGAAATTTGTAGGATTAAGGATCAAAGTTCATTTTTAAATGCACACGCGTGAATGTCTTCCTTGTCTTACCTACGTCATCATTTTCGATCCGTCACAGGTTTAGAATTTGACATGTGACACCAATAATCACAGCTAAGTTCTGTGAAAAAAAGTTTTTATCGCATTCACAATAAGTAGATATAGTGTAATTTCTTGACATTCACGAGTCTCATGACAAATGTTACTCCCGTTGTTTTACTGCGTGATCGTGTGTCATTACGACATGCTGGACATGTGATGTCTCGTAATACGTGAAAAATTCAATTAAAGATTGCTTGTTAATAAAATTTTGCGCACTATGCGTTATTGCAGTTTTAAAATTGATTAAAGCAGAAAAGAATATTGTTCTTAGAACTAATAAATTATGTAACATAAGTTTGTGTCACTTTGTGCGTTATATAATTTTGTATGTATGTCTAAAAATAATTACAATCTCCACCCCAAATTACAAGATTTGACACTTACAGAAAGGCTCGTAGGTATAGGAAGATTGTGTATATTATTATATAAAATATATGAATTATATAAATAAATTGTGACTATGTGAACAAACGTCATAATATGTTAAGGTGCGCAAAAGTGTAGTTACAATTGTGATTTACTATCGGCGCCAATTTTTCGAAATCGTTATTACGAAATATACAGCACGTATTTATATTTCAAGGTTAATTGAAGGATCGACATTTGCAATCAATAAGCATTTTGCAAGGAAGTGGTATTCGTAATAAGCAATTTATAAATTAATGTGGAATTCAGTTTTAATTTTTCAAAAGTTAACTTTTAATTGTAAGCAATTTGTAATCTTTTTTCAGACTATACAAATAAATATAACCAAATATGGGTGTTCCGGCTGGTGATCCAGAGAAGGGAAAGAAAGTAAGAAGCAGTAATGAGCAATATGATAAAACTTTCAAATTTTATTTTATTAAAAGTAACATTTTTTCTAGATCTTCATTCAAAGGTGCGCACAATGTCACACAGTCGAGGCGGGTGGCAAACACAAAGTAGGTCCTAATTTACATGGACTCATAGGTAGGAAAACCGGTCAAGCTCCCGGTTTCTTATATACCGATGCCAACAAAGCAAAAGGTTTGTGTTCTTATATTCTCTTTAATAGTTATTGATCATAACTATTGGGACAGAGACGTGCGTATTACACGCATCTAATTTTAATTTCAGGTATTACTTGGAATAAAGATACATTGTTCGAGTACCTGGAAAATCCAAAGAAGTACATTCCCGGCACAAAAATGGTCTTTGCCGGTTTGAAGAAACCGCAGGAACGGGGTGATCTGATCGCTTATCTAGAACAGGCGACGAAGTAGGCGTCACACTGCGTGTACGTTACCGGTCGCGAGAATTTTGCGGCATTAGTCCGATTATCATCTTCATCACATACCTCGTTATCGTCTCGTTCGTGTTCATCTTTTCACAAATTTTTCTCGGTGGTACCCAAAACGTTCGCAATACATAATTGAATAGTGACGAATTGTTACGATATTGTTGATAAGTAGCTAATTGCAGATACAAAGTGACACAGGAGTCTGGCCTGACACCGACCCTGATTCTTTTACTTGCACCGAAGAGATAAACTTAGAAATATTAAAACTTCTTCGCGCGAATGGCTAAGCCATTCTTTTGCGAATCCCGATTATTTATTATCATTCTATCGTATTATGCAGTATATCGTATCATGCAAGCGAGTGTAGGTCTGTAAAACAAAAAAAAAAAAATAAAATATACAGACGATATATAGGCAATTAAAAAATTTGTAATTGTTCTATTTTTTGTACTTAGTATTGCGATTATTATCTTAAAGATTTAATCGTGTGCAGAACAGCTGGATATAACAGCAGAGCAAACTTGATACTCAAGCAGTAACACCACAAAGCTTTGACAGATAGACGTAAAGTTTAAGTGCCGATTAGATTAGACAGGCGTCGGCATGTTGAGGATTTTATCGCTTTCGTTCTTGCTTGTACTTTCTCTGTTTCTATCATTAGCCTTCTCCATTTATATTTAAGGGTCTTTAAGTTGTTGATAACGAAACAGGAAGAATGCGGTCAGCATTTGCAGGAAGTCTATGGTTTTATGGGTTTTACCTTATTCCTTGACAAAAATTTGTCGCAGTCGTTCTCTGTACATCGTTCCGATGTAACGCGCACGAATATTCGCGAGTATTTTTGTAGTGTTGATATAAGTGAGTTTGACTAAATCGATCTTTTTTCTCTCTTTTTCTAAATAATATGACGAGCAATTCACAGTCGGTCGATCAGGCCCATTCGGATACTGACGGTAACTGTATTACAAGATTCAAGAAAAATACATGCTTGAGATTGCGACTGGTCCGCGTTCTCAGCTCTGGCGGACTCAAAAGTCCCAAGAGTCCGAAAAGTGTGTCAAGCTCGCGCGACTCAAGTCCCGGCCACAGCAGTCCCCGATCCAGAAAAAGATACTCTTGGCAATCGGGAAGTTACAGCAGCGAGGAGAACCGATCACCGCGTTCACCAGAAAGCGGAATATCGACACTGTCATCCTCGAGATCGTCATCCTCTAGATCGTCGTCAACCGTCAATACGAGTTCGCCCAAAAGCCCACTTATCCCGAAAAATCCGTACTCTTCGATCTGGTATGCTGTCGGAAAGTAAGTTTGCTTATCGATTATTCTGTTTGTATTTTTGGGTCACATATACGCATAACTATTGCTGATACAAACTTTGGTCATTAATAAAAAATTGAGTTTCCACACTCGTATTAGCTATAATTGTAAGTTATATTTGCCCCAATAATATAAAATAGATATTTTTATCTGAAACGAGATTTTTTTTACGTCATTAACGTGTGCCATAAATAAACGTTGTTCATAAGTATTATACTCGCACTCGGCTTTTCTAAAAGATTTTGAGTTTGAAGAAAGTTTATTTGAAAATTTCTTTTATTTAATATGTCACACGTTTTTGTACTTAACTTTCGAGAGAATATTCTCCCACCTCCTCGATATATTTATAGCGCGAATATAAAATCGTATGACGAATAATCCTTTTTTTACCCTTTGTGGACGTTTCACTGACCCGAAACCACGGCACGGCGTTTGTCAAAGGGTAACTAGAACTATTTTTACCCCCAATGTCGGTGTGCGCGCTCGGCACCTTTAATGAAAGATTATTCCCGCGGAGCAGATAAACGTACTTCGCTGTCGTGTGCATTAGCAGCGTTTGTACAGCGAATAAAACACACTGTGTTAGCTGTCTCGCTCGTAATCAGGCTGCATTAATATGGCCGTGTGATTCTCGCGCGTTGCGTAATAATGTAAACTTTATATATTGGGCTGATCAAACCGCGCGTCTTTAATATATGCGCTACCTTGTCAGCAATTTGTTTCGTGTGTCAGCACATTAATATATTTGAAAAACACTAAATTTATCAAAATTTTATAACAACAAACCAAAATCAATATTGTGAGAAGATTATATTAATCTTTTTATCATTAATATTTAAAAAATAATACCATTATAAATACAAATATTATAAAATATTTTTAAATATTTTAGAAAAAAAAATAAGGAAAAACTAGGTATTATATAATAATATATATATTATAATAATAATAGCTACTATGTCTAAATGTCCATCACATTTGATGTGATACCATAATGAGTTTTGATACTCAAACGCACATGATTTTCCACGTATTGGAGTAAGTCCAAGAACAAACGTATCGATCGGAATAGACATCAGACCTGTGATTGTGTTCAGCGGACGCCTGGTCGTTTCGCGCTAGATAACGGAGAGATAAGAATCAGAAAACTTTTGCCTAATGCTCAAGGTAACGGTCAAACTTACACCATCAAGTGGCGCGCGCGCGCACATACACACACACAACTGGAACTCCGATTTAACGATTCTACGTCGAGGAAATATGTACGGTTGCACTTTGCGCGCTCCAAGTCGTGTAAGACAGATAACAATCTGACAGTGCAAACAGAGGGTAACTGCTCACGGAGCAAATAAAGCCGCAAAGAAGTGGATGACAGAGTTGTATGGTTTCATCGTTTAGCAGAACCACTTTTTTAATGGAACGATTCTAGCGATTTGGTTACTTTGCACAAATCGCTATGGAAGTGGACGAAGTTGGAGTTTTGCTTGAGGAAGACAAGATGATGAACAAACTAGGGAACGCAAAGTCAAAACAAATTTGAAAAATTCTGAAACGAAGACGAAAGAAACGAGAATAATTTGCGCAAAGTTCTGGGGGTTTGTCAGTGCCCGATAGTTGTTGGTCTTTTTCGTACATCATCGAGGAACCACCGAGCGACGGGTCGATGCAGCGCCGGCGCTGCGGAGTGTGCGACCACGAAGACGAGTTACCCCACCACCAACTCCGCGTTGCCGTCCAAACGATCGCGTCGACGTAGAGGTGCGCGACGGAGAGGAGGACTTCTCCTCTTCTCTCCTCTCCTCTCTCCGTTCATCGTCTGTTCTCTCCTGTCGTGGTGCACTTCGTCGCCGTGTTCCGCAGAACGCTACGCGCCGCGCTCGAAACACCACTGCGGAACGTCGTCGCGCGTCAAAGCCAGCCAGAATCTCGGCAATCGACGAGTTAGGACATCCTTGTACGGCGGACCGGTTGTAAAGGTCAAACACGAATCGATCAGGTGAGCGTTCAGGCGGGAGAACCGGAAGCAAACCTGAAGAACCCATTTGGCTCTGTAACTTAACAAATTTGGAGGCAATTTTGTTGGAAAAATATAGAAAAAATAGCTCTGAATCGTGATATGTTAGTGGTATCATTCATTTGCGCTTTTGAAGGTAAAAATAAATACAAGTTTTCTCTCAACTTATTGTTTTGTTTAGCGTTTGTTGCATTATTGTTTTACGATATCGAGTAAATTAAATTTCTCATCTCAGGAGATAGGTCAAATTTGCCTCCAAATGCGGGTTCTACGGGTTTTGTCGGATCGATTCAACGTGATTTTGACAATTAGCGACTGTTAATATTCTTCTTACTGAAACTATCGTAGCGAGTACGATAACAAAGTTATCGTCGACGATCGCGGTGTTAAAGATAAAAGAAAAACAATTTCTTTGCAATCATCAGAATATTTTATTTATATCGTTCGCGTTTATTTTCTTTCAACAATGTTGCGAGGAAGAGAGTTTCTCGGCTCTCGTTTTAAATGAATCAATAATTTATACGAGACTTAAGCTCTCGTTGTTAGAGCGATCGCGCGCCAAGCAGGATGGGCGATTCGAAACGATTGGACTCTTCGAAGCGCGGTTCGTGCTTCAAGAAACCCTACGCGGGTAATTGGATAAATATCCTACATTCTCAGAACTATTGATACCTAATGAAGACATCGCGACCAATTATTGTGATTTATTGCCAAGTGCGACTTTTCACTGATACGCGGAAAAATGTGACACACATCTAAAGATAAATCTTTTGTTGTATTTTTGCACACAAAATGCGTGACGATATTTTACCGCTTAACAATCCGCTTTTGTCAATAGTTTCTTCGCGTGCACATAGAACTCATTCAGTCAAGTGGACGTTTAAAAGAACAGCCTCGAGCAAAACTGCGAGGATTTAAAGAATTCGTTGGCTATAAAAAAGAATAAAGACCTACGAGATGTTTATACGTACTTTGCAAAGATAAAATCCATACGTTGGCCAGTGTTAAAAAATCTCTCGATTTTCTCTCTCTTTGTCGAGTTTTTAAAAATATTTATTTAAAAAAAAAGAGGAACGGAGAAAAATCGCGCTTTTGTAGGTTTCATTTGAATCTATCAAAATGCCGTCTAACTGCAATTACAGTCGTGTCTTGTGACAAGTTTTGTTAGAGAGAAGTTACGGTGCGTGTGGTAGAACGCGCGCTTACTGTTGCTGCTATTACCGATATGTGACATCACGATCGCGTAATGCAGATGACTACTGCCTCGGTTTATACGTGAGAGAAAGAGGAACAAGATAAACAGATAAAATCTTCACAGAAAACGAACGAGGATTCAGACAGCTCGCTGTAAAACGAGGTGTCTGAATGTTTTCATAAACATTAGTCAAAGTTAACTGAAGTTTTCAACTCGACTCCGATTATTTTTCTTTTAGAGATAAATTTAAAAGGAAATAAAAGATCAAAGTTGAAACATCAATTGATTTGTATCTCTTTTATTAAAAGTCGTGTAAAAATAGATTAAGAAATATAACATTTAAATACGAGATATCGTTCGAATGTGGTGAAGTTCGTACAAGAAAACAATGAAGAAAGATGCAGGTCGAGAGAGTGACATGATCGCGTATATATGATGTCAGACAAAAAGTAGGTCTAGGGAATCAGCTGGCCGAAAGAGGCGCGTGCGCCAGTTGAAACGCCCACCTAGCGATCGTGCTCCTGGAAACAGCGATTTCGTAACAGTATGATAAACAGTCACACGGAGCAACGTGCTGAGTTGCTGCGTTTCTTTCGACATACGTAACACGAGAGGTTTATTGAAACAATCGTGAGACACTTTTTTTTTGAAAGTGAAGAAACCTCGATATCTTACTGAATATAAAGAGACTGTAAGAAATATATCAATGTGATTCAACAGAAATAGAAAAGAATGATATAACACAAATTGTACGTATATAATAATGAAATTGTTTAGAAATAAATAAAGTAAATAACAATATGTGAGAATTTTTTAGGTCAAAATTCTGTAAAATTAACAGAAGCTCAAGTTTTTGAAATCAAATACAATTTTTGTTCCATCTCATCGAGATTAAGGAAG